AGAGAGATTAGCATTTGAATTGGTGGATTGAATAAAGCAGATTGCCCTCCCCAGTGTAGGTGGGCCTCATCCAATCCTTTGAGGGCATAAAGAGAACAAAATGGCAGAGAACGTTGAGTCCTCTCTGCCTGACTGCTTGAAGTGGGACATCAATCTTCTCCTCCCTTGGCACTCCCGGTTCTCAGGCCTTCAGACCCAGACTGAAATCTCCAGCTCTCAGAGCTTCAAACTACATCTCTGGCTGGCCTGTGCCTCCAGCTTGCAGATGGCGGGATCGTGAGACTTCACAGCCTCCGTGTCACGTGACCCAATACCTTATAACAAACCCTTTTATATATATATGTATACACATATATATACATGTATATATGCATATACTATGAGTTCTATTCCCTGGAGAACCCTGATACAGATGGACTCAGAGGGGAGCTACGAAAAAAAGGAAGAGAGAGAGACATCCAGGAAAACAGTGAGAAAACGGAGAAACTATGTAAGATAGGAAAAGCCCTGACTTCGGTATGAGGGGACCTGCACCATAGACTCAGGTGCTTCCTCACTCACTGCCTACCCTGTCACCTCTCCAGGTTTATGTCTCCGGGCCTCAGCCTAGCCCCTGAGAGGAGTGACCCAACACATCTCTTGGGTCTCTCCAGTTCTAGAACACTGTCATCGTGATTCCTCCATGGGTACCACCCACACAGTCAACACTCACCTGATGGGCGCCTCCTTTGTGAGGGAATGACAGTCAAGGAGCTCACTGCAGGAACTGCATTTAAATGCTGGCTTTGCCAATACAGCCATCTTCAGAATTCTAAGATCAGAGGGAGGATCCCAGCGGGATGGGCGGCAAAGTGCTGGATATAAAGCTGCCAAACCATCAGGCCCAAGGCAGGTGCTCTAAGCAGATCATTTCCTAAAAACTCGGCATTTAAAAGGACACATCCTGACGTGCCATTCCCAGAACTATCATCTCGCCTCCTATGCGGGTTTAATGGTTGAAAAAACAATGAGCTCTCTATTCCAGGTGATATTGGCAAAAGACCTATTTCCCAGATCAATACCCTCAACCAAATGACCAAAGCAAATATAGATTCTTTTATGTTTTATTCACCCTTCTACTCGTAGCTGCCCTACACATGTAAGGATATGAGATTTTATAGAGTGATTCATATTGAGAAATTTGGGCCAGCAGTGATCTTCAACCCGGGGACATTAAATCACCTAGAGAACTTTTTTTTTTTTTTAATATGGATGTATGGGCCTCTTTCCTAAAACTCTTCATTTAATTGGGCCGGTGAGGAGACCCAAGCATCAGTCTCTTTTTAACCGCTCCCCAGGCGATTCTACTGTGAGGCCAGGATAAGAACCACTAGGCTGAGGGACTGCAGTGTTTCCAGAGGGCTCAGAGCAGCCGGGCACACCTCTGACACACGTACTTTATGTTCCCAGTGTTTTTGGCCAAGAATTCCTAACAGAAGAGAAGTTCTGCCCAGAACAGCACTAGATCCTTGTATTTTGGTCTAGCTTTTCTCTTTCCCCTATAGAGCTTGCAGCTGGTATAGACATTCCCCAAGCAAGCAAAGGTCCTACCAAGGGTAAGAAAACCACCAGATTTTCTGCCAAGCTTTTAAACTTGGGGCTTACACTGCAATTTCAGAATTCACGTTAATAATCTAGTATCTCCATCTAAGAGAATGTGTTCCAATGCCAAGTCCTTGTAGTTCTGTGATAAACTCATCAACAAAGCCATATCTTGGATGGTGGAGAAGGTAGAGTCAATGCCCATATGTTCCTGAATATTAAACTTTCTCCAGCATTATGAAAAGTCTGTCTCTCCATGGACTTTAAAAGAGCTATACCCATTTCTCCTGGGCACTATCACACAGTTTGTTGTGGACTTTTAAAGAGAATTATCTGGTTTCCGTGGATTTTTATCACATTTGGAAATTTGGCGATAATAATCCTCCCTATAACCTGCCATATATTCAGTCCTTAAAATATCAGTCACCATATCAGGCACTAAAATACAGTATCTCTAATCCACAGGACAGCCATGTGAAACAAGCACTATTTGTCCAAGTTTACAGATGAGAGACTTCATAGCTAGTGACTGTTCGAGCTGGGATTCAGATTCAGGTCTGTCTGGCTCCAAAAATAACAACCTTTTCACAATGCTCTATTGCCCACAGAAAATCTGTGGGAAGGTCAGTAACTATAACAAAACAATAAAAGTAGATATTTGTATAGCAAATGTTTTCTCCTAACTCCCTGAGCCATGGGAAGGCATTCCTAGGTCAGAGCTTCCACATCCTCAACTACAGTAAAGAAAAGTCTTTAGAGATTCCAGTCCTTTGAGAATGGAAATACTTTTTTTTTTTTTAAAGATTTTATTTATTTA